GACCTCCGAGTCTTCATAAGGTTCGTCATCCGCCTGCGTGTGGGTGGCGCAGCCTAGTTGCCTTTCTAAGCTGCCGAGGCACGAGGCTGCGTAGAATATAGTCTACGTGCAATTAAGCGAGGTGGCGCAGCTCTTTCTGCTCTTGACCACCTCGTAGTAGTCTCTCACTCTAAGTCCTAGTTACTACTAGTTCTCAGTCTTTTTGCATTCTCTATCTCTATCACGATGTTCCAAGAAGACCCCAACAAACAGGTCGTTCCGGACTACACGCTAGAAGAGCATCAGCCGGCCAGGCAGCAACTTATAGCAGAAGGTTTCACAGACGACCAGGCCGCCCGTTCACTGACGTCACTTTGGACTTTAACTAACAATGCAGCAAAAGAACGTTGGGCCACCAGGCAACAAAGGCTAGAAGCCATACGACAACAAGACAAGCAAGACAAGCAAGACAAAGAGGACCGTCAACAAGCTCTGAAGGATGAAGAAGAGGCAGTGCGCCTTGAAGAACAGAAAAAGAACAAGAGCAAGTATGCGCCTATCAAGCGTGGAAAGGTTCCATCCGACCCCAGCATCATACCTGCTGCCTATGCCATCAGGAAGATGAAGGTGGGCGATTTCTGCGAGCTACACTACTTGTCACAACCCTTTGAACGAATTAATGCAGGGGCAGAGACTAGGACTCAAACGAAAGGTATCACAACAAAGAAGAGAATATGAGCAGGTACATCTTAGGATTGCTAGCAGTGAGCTAATACAAAAGAGGTTTGAACTGGAGAACTACCGACTACAATGAGCTACCTATATACATATATTGAAATGGAGACTGAATCTGAGTATGAACTAACTAGCCAATCATTAAATAGAAAAGGGAATCGTACGATGATCTAAATATAACTACACTATGATGTCATGAAACGTGTGACGGCTGTACAAGGGTTCTCGAAGGTTCTAGGGTCACGTGACTTGATCGCTTGTGAAAGGAAGTCGAAATCGGGGATGTCGGAGATAAAGGTAGTCGGCGCTAAAGGGATAGAGAAGTTCGGATATGTAAAAGATGGGTTCGGGTTAGGGTTTGTGAAAGTTATGGGTACAGACGCTGACTGGGCGCTAACAACAGGCGCTTGTGACGGGCGCTTAAAGGGTGTTTTACGAGTGTTCAAGTAAGAATAATGATTTGTATTTGGAACTCGTGACACTACTTCACCAACAAAGGTTTGAGTGACGCCAAAGCAGCAGTGCTTATAGCAGAGCCCGAAGCACTCGTTATGCTACCAGAAGCCAATGGAGCTCACACTTGGGTCCCAGCAGCCGCTGTAAGAGACCCTAAAGCATCCGCCGTTGTGAGAGACGAGAACCTCTCCTGGGAGGAGTTCAACGAAGCTGCCTCTCGCATGATCAGCATGATGAAAGTGCACGACTGGCCAGACAACCGCATTGAGATGCACATACACTTCTGGAACGCACTCCAGAACCATAGGTGGCGCCATTCACCGGACCACCTCAAGCAGCGCACACTGCTATCATATCAGTTGCAGCAGCACCATAGGTGGCACCTCACCGTCGGGACATCGCAAGGTTGGAGTCTTGAGGAGATCAACCAGGACCTCCTAACAGAGGCAAGAGAGGAACTGTTCAACGAGCATCTAGAAAAGCAAACCGCAGCAGCCATAAAGGTCAGTAGGGTATGTTCACTGTTTCATGCGCAACCTCTAACCATTTTTCATCCTTCTAACAACCACAATTTCTCAAATCGAACTGCATCATCAATTTGCGCATCGTAAGCTTTTGTCAGCCATCATGTGCTGACAAACGATCGAACCGGTGTTCTTCATGTCATTTTGTACACTGTCATCATGACACTACAAACCGATTGTTTTATGGCCAACATGTGCCTCTTTTCTCCTTGGTATCACACCAATGGCCCCATACATACCGTCATCACGACAATGCCACATGCACACCCCAACCACACGGCACCAATATCACATTGTTTGCCCCCCCCCCCCCCCCCCATTGCCATTGCTATCACAGCAAGCGGCTGCTTTGTACCTAACAAGCAACCAAGCGACGCTTCACCAGCAGATATCTGCACCACTGCATCAGGCAATGAGCCAGAAGCACCCTTTCCAGTCAGCAGAAGACCAGGCTGGAAGCAACAAGAAGGTACGCACCGTTCGTGCACCTCCTTCTTCCAGCCCCTTCCCTTGTTGTGCAGTATGCCTTGGCAGGCACCAGCACCGCACCATCGAGTGCACCTCCACCCATACCTGGAATGGTCAACACCAAATGTTTGCTGAGCGCATCCGAAAGGGTTTGTGGACGAAAGACGGAAAACAAATCTGCACAGGCTGGCAGAGAGACAAGGGCTGCAACACCCCCAGGCACAATGCTTGCCACATGTGTTCTGGATGCGGCACCTCTACCCATGGGGCCCAGAAGTGCCCTAGAGCACAGAAAGAGGAGCCCACTAACCCTGTACAAAGCTGAATTCTGGGAGCAGGAGTTGCATCGCGCAGGCATACTCAAACATTTTGTTAAAGTGCCGGAAGGATTCTGCTCAGGCTTCAGAATAGACTTTCCTGCTATCACAGTTGTACAATCCCCGCCTAATAGAGATTCGATTAGCGAATACGAAAACGAATTTAAAACAATAATCTCCAAAGAAATTTCCAAGGGCAGGTACATTGGACCGTTCTCGTCCAATGAGTTAAAAGACCTGATAGGTCCTTTCCAAACTTCTCCGCTCTCCATCATCCCCAAACTGGGGAAGCCAGGAAAATTTCGACTAATCCAAAAATTTTCATTCCCTCATGTTCCGAGCTCGCATTTCCCAAGCCTGTCAATTAACTCTCATATAGACGTGGACAACTTCCCCACTACATGGGGTAAGTTTGAAACAGTCTACCAACTGATCGCCACACTCCCACCAGGGTCAGAGGCTGCAACACGAGATGTGGCAGAGGTGTACTGCACAGTACCTTTACACCCGTCGCAGTGGCTGGCAGGAGTGGTGCGAGCCTCCGAAGACCATTTCTATGTTGATATGTGTACAGCCTTCGGAGCAACGCCATCAGCGGGAGCATACGGCCACGTAGCAGACGCAGGGGCAGAAATCTTCCGTCATCGAGGCATAGGACCTCTGGACAAGTGGGTTGATGACTACATATTCTTCAGAGTGAGGCATGAATACCTGAAGCAGTTCAACGAGACGAGAAGGAACTGGTACCAGATGTTTGCAAAGGATGACATGCGCCAGACAGGCAGTCGCATCTGGTTCGGAGGCATATCCCCAACAACAGGCCAGCTGGAAGAATGGAATGAGAACTGTTCCCAGCCGCTGTTAGATCTATCAAAGAACTCACCAAGATCAACGCACGATGAGCAGTTCAGCTGTTGCATGCAAGACATAGACTCAATTTCCCATGAAGCAGGCATTATCTGGGAACCGGTAAAAGATCAACCATTCTTGCCTTCAACGATCTATATAGGATTCATCTGGGACGTTGAGCAAAGACTGGTCTACCTGAGCTCTTTGAAGGTAGATAAGTACCTTTTAGCAATTCATAGATGGAGAAAGTGTCCCTCACATGTCTTACAAGACGTGCAACAACTGTATGGCAAGTTGTTACATGCCTGCGCAGCAGCGCCACAGGGCAGAGCTTATTTGACAACCCTCGAGGAGATGCTGTCCTACTGCGGCGATAAACCTTTCATGCCATGAAGACCTGGACAACATGTAGCCGACAATTTAGATTGGTGGTCCCACCTACTGCAATCAGGCAAGGTATCGAAACCAATCCTTCCCGCAGCACCTCCAATAAATCTCCTTGCCTTCTCGGACGCAAGTTCAGGCATAGGCCTCGGCATTATCATAGGCGATTTCTGGAGAGCCTGGCGCCTTATACCAGGGTGGAAAACTTCCAATGGAAAACGGGACATTGGATGGGCAGAAGCTGTTGCCTTCGAGCTACTGGTGTATTCTGTCGCCACTTTCACTAACACTAGCGGAAACTTCATCATTCATGGCGATAACACGGGAGTCGTCGAAGGCTGGTGGAAACGCCGACACTGCAACAGAGCAGTCAATGAAGTCTTCCGGAGAATCCACAAATTCCTCAACAATCTACCCAGACACTTCGAGATCACTACCACTTACGTTGCAAGCGCACTCAATCCAGCGGACAAACCATCCAGAGGCATCCTCAGTCCAATCGAGTTTCTTCTCCCTCCCATCGATATTCCCCCAGAACTTAGCGAGTTCATCATCGACGCCACGAAACCTCTCTCCCCCACCAAACTCCATCATCTGTGGGAAGGAAACTACTCCGCTCCTGCTCATAAGCTCATCAATCGAGAGCTCATCAAGCAGCAAGCAACAGAGCGAGCCAGAGCCTCGTTTCTCGAGGAAGAAGAAATCGTCAGGGCAGCTCTCCAAAATGAATGACGCCAAAGGAGCATCTCGTTTCGGAGCGCCACTAATGACCATCACGACTTTCCCAGCCCCCACGCCCAAGAACTACAAACCAGCTTCAACACCCCACCCATCATCACTCGGCCCCCATTGCCTAGCAAGAGACAGGTTGAGGGTGTGGACACCCTCAGGAACCAATCCGAGACTATTGCAACTAGCGGCAGTTGCAGGCAGTCAGCAAGAAGTGGACATCACAGACGCCCAGCTAGTCCGTATTTTAGACGTCATGGGGTCATCATGGGCGCAATCGACGAAAGAGACCTATGGAGCGGGGCTATTAGTATTCCATGTCTTCTGCGACACAATCAAGGTAGAAGAAGACAAAAGATGCCCGGTAACCCCTGCCCTCCTCCTCGCTTTCCTGTCCAGCTGCGCCGGCTCATACTCAGGGTCAGCCCTATCCAATTATGCAGCCGGCATCAAAGCATAGCACTTACTCCACGGCAGGATGTGGCTCATATCAGCCAGCAAGCTAAAAGCCATCCTAGGTGGTGCAAAAGCACGCACACCTGAATCATCTAAGCAGCCGAAACGACTACTTTTCACGCCAGACACATTAGCCAGCATCCGCGAGCACCTGAAACTAGATGAGCCACTAGATGCCGCAGTGTATGCCCGCCTAACAACAACCTTCTACTGCATTGCAAGGCTAGGTGAATTCACTGTTAAAACTGTAAAAAAATTTGATCCAAGTAAGCACATATCAAGAAGAGCAGTTTCCGAATCAACAGACCGCCACAGACTTCCCATCACTAAATTCCACATTCCGAGCACCAAAACAGCTCCCATAGCAGGAGAAGACACTTTCTGGGCAGAACAAAATGGTCCAACAGATCCTAAAGCCGCGCTTGAGAATCATCTGCGCGTCAACGCCGCAAGCGATGACTCTCACCTCTTTGCATGGCGCCACCCTAAAGGCACTAGGCCTTTGTCAAAGAAGGAGCTTACCAAACGGGTAGTGTCAGTGGCATCAGTAGCAGGGCTCCCAGATCTAAAAGGACATGGCTTACGAATCGGGGGTACACTAGAATACCTTTTGCAAGGAGTGCCTTTCGAAGTAGTGAAAAGCATGGGTAGATGGTCCAGCGACGCCTTCGCTCTATACCTTAGAGACCACGCACAGATCCTAGCGCCCTACATTCAAGCATCCCCAGTGCTAGAGCCGTTCACACACTATACACTGCCACCAGTGCGTTAAAGAACCAAGTGAGTTGTTCGCTCCTAATACAAGGGCATCAAGCTTCGCTATACGCGTCGCTCCACTCCTAATTCCCGGGATCACAGCTCATCTTGACACCCAGGTTCGGACCCTTGTTTCAGGCCAGAAAAGCCCGCCGGGCTTTCGCCCAAACACCCAAAAACCTTCTCACCACCAAGTACATTCTTGACCAGCGTGCCGTAGTCAATCGTCCATTCCTGTATACACTAACGATTCTGTTCACCACGAATCGCACCCTTTTCTTTTGCCATCAAGCACAGCAGCACATAGAAATCCTTTTAGTCGGCCATCCCCGAGGCGTTTCTTCTCCTATGTCGGAGTTTGAAAATTCCCTGGCGGGCGATGATTGTAAGGGGCTCTCGCCTCTTTCTACCGGTCGAGTCTTTCGTGCCTTGCTTTGGTTTTGTGATATCAGGTCTGTTTAGTTGCAGAATGTCTGTCATGTAGCTAGCACTAGTATTTTTGCGTTGACTAAGCTCTATTTTCTCTGCTGTCCAAAAATTTCTGCCATCTTCTCCTACTCGCCAGAGAGCACTGCCTTGTTAACCACCAATCATCTAAGTCCCAGAAAGGGTATTAAATGTACTAATTGTCCGGAAACTCATCCGAAGTTCGCTTTCTGGATGTGCCAACATGGAGCACAGCGACGTCCGGCCTCGGAGAGAGGAAGGGTGGCCGAAGCCTCCGTTGTTGAGTACCGGGAATTGGGATCGATGGCTGACAAGTTACAACTATTCATTGGGCTGTGCGTTGAAGGTTAAAACTGAGGATGAGAGAATTAAAGGAGGTTTCATAAAATGAAAAAAAGTCAAACCTGAAGCAAGGCTATCTAACCTTTGCAAGTTTCTGCCCCTCGGATAAAATATCAAGACAAGACCGCAGTCCCTTCAAACACCACTGCCTTTCGAGCCAGGAAAGGAGGTGACACTTCCAGAAAACCCGGAATATATGGTTGAGAGTGTCGTCCCATGGATTTGGGGCACGCGACAGGTGAACAACCCAGTTTTGAGATGCATACCTGAGAGCGTCAGAAGATGATTGACTTCGTTCCTGTGCCTCGTTTGCGAAAGCTATAAAGAGATTCATAGCACAGACGATCTCCCTGTCAGGAACTTCTGGCGATGCAGAGGTGAGATGATCTTGGGATATCAAGGCCAAGAACATCGGAAACATCAAGGAATCCGGTAAGTTTTTGAGCTGCTGGAATACTTGGAAGGTTGGCAGCAAAGCCAATTCTGGGACAATGATGTAGTTGCTGATTGCTTCCAACGTACTCGAGAATTCTTCTATAGTCGCCCATACGGACCCCGCAGAAGTGGATTGCCACGCTTGGCCGTGAGGCGTCTGGAGCCAGTTTCGCCCTTCCAGGGTCTGAAGCCAGCCTCGTCCTAGCTCGGTCTGCAGCCAGTCTCGTCCTAGCTCCTGTAGCCAGTCTCGTCCTTTGTTCTGAAGCCAGCCTCGTCCTGCTTCGGTCTGCAGCCAGTCTCGTCCTGCTTTGCTCTGCGGCCAGTCTCGTTCTCCGGTCTGCGGCCAGTCTCGTCCTCCCTCGGTCTGCAGCCACTCTCGTCCTCCTTCGGTCTGCATCCATCCTCGTGCTCTCCGGGTCCGCAACCAGTCTCGTCCTCCCTTGGTCTCTAACCAGTTCCGTCCTCCCTCGGTCTTTAGCCAATCTCGTGCTCCGGTCTGCAGCCACTCTCGGCCTCCCCCGGTCTGCAGCCAGTCTCGGCCTCCCTCGGTCTCTAGCCAGTCTCGTCCTCCCTCGGTCTGCAGCCAGTCTCGGCCTCCCTCGGTCTGCAGCCAATCTCGTCCTCCCTCGGTCTGCAGCCAGTCTCGTCCTCCCTCGGTCTGCAACCAGTCTCGTACTCTCCAGGTCTGCAGCCACTCTCGTGCTCCCTCGGCCTCTAGCCACTCCCGTGCTCCCTCGGTCTGCAACCACTCTCGTGCCCTCCATGTCTGCAGCCAGTCTCGTCCTCCCTCAGTCCGCAACCACTCTTGTGCTCTCCAGGTCTGCAGCCAGTCTCGTCCTCCTTCGGTCTCTAGCCAGTCTCGTCCTCTCTCGGCCTCTAGCCAGTTTCGTCCTCCCTCGGTCTGCAGCCAGTCTCGTCCTCCCTTGGTCACTAGCCAGTTTCGTGCTCCCTCGGTCTGCAACCAGTCTCGTCCTCCCTCGGTCTGCAGCCACTCTCGTCCTCCCTCGGTTTGCAGCCAGGCACACCCATCCACGGTCCCCAGCCAATATTGTAAATCTGGAGTACGATCTCCCCGAAGCCATAGCATACAGATGAGAACTGATAGTGGCTCTGGTGGCTGAACAAGGAAGGATAGCAAATTTTCTAATTGATTGGGGTTCTCAGATTGCATAGCTTGACTTTGTTTCTTCAGTTCTGAGAGCGCATCCAAAAGGGCCGTACTTTCTGGAATATTTTTCGTCATCAAGTGAAAAGAGGACTCGGCGAGTAGGGAGTGGGGTGATGGTATATTGTGTTCGCGTACTTGAGGGAGGCTGGAGTTTGAAAGGTCGGAAACATAGTCGCGAACGGAAGAGTGATAGATATTCACGGGGAGAGTGGTGTCGGTAGGAATATCCATGACAGACCGTAGTTGCACTAGTGTTGCCTCAACATCACAACCCTGGCCAGGGCCAAGAAGTTTCGAGATTTGTGACAGCGGCAGAGGGTCCGCAAGCGCAGTGACAATGGACAAGTGTAGGTATGCCCGGGTGGGGTCAGCACATGTGGAAAGAATAAGGTCGTATAACTTGTACACATGCGTTCCTGGTAGCAGCTCGCTCGTCAGTTCGAGCATCAATTGTAACTTAACACGAGGAACCTCATATCCATCACCGATAATAAACTTCATCATCGTAGACGCCACAATGAAACGTCTGCCCGCTCGGATCGCCAGCTTCGCGAGATCATCCTTCGATGGCTGAGGGAAATCAGTATGGCGACTTGCCAGCTCTGCGAAGGAATGCTGTAAGAATACATAGATGTCGTTGTCAACATCGGCGCCGTCGAGCGAGATGATGGTAGCAGCGCCCTCCCCAGAAGTTTTCACGGGTATTTCGCACAACAACGGCTGCACCTCCTTGTTCTGAAAGGCTTTGCAGATATGCGATTCCGAGCGACTCGTGAGTAGAATGTGTGTCACGGGTAGATCAAGCTCACGAAGAGCCCGTGCAAGGGAAAGGATAAGATCGGTAAGATCGTGTTCGGATGTGCATTCATCAAGGGCATCAATGACAAACGTCAAAGGCGGACACTTGCACAATCTGGATCGAAGCCACCGGAGAGGTTTGAGAAAGAAAGCCTCCATCTGGTCACAGAGAGGTGTGTCGGAGTCTAGTAGGGCAGGATTATCGCGGATGACTCTGTTCACATCCTTTCGGATGGATGGAAAATTGTTGGCAAGCTGGTAGGCAAGCGTTGCAAAGAAATATCCAGTGGTGCAACGTTTCGTGTGCTTGCGCGAGAAAAAGAATGTCCCCGCTAGCCGCTTTTCGACATTCGTCTCCTCTGTCACTTTTAGACCTTTCATCCTCTCAGCTACGGTGAATGCGACGGAAGACTTTCCGACACCTGCTGTGCCATGCAGCCATATAATTTGATTCTTCTCTTCTTTATCTAGTAATCGGTGGATGTATTTGAGGAGATTCACCCGGGTCCCTTCCAAACATTTCGAATGAGGCTGACGTTCAGGGGAGTTATATTGAGCGCCCTTGACAGCAACTTGGGACAGCCTCGCCCAAGTTCCTTCAAACGATGGAAGAACTGTCCAAAAGGTCAGAAAGCGAGACAGGAACAAGAGTGAAAAAAACAGACATTGTTCCTCACTCATTCACGAGGGTTGTAATATGCGTGATGAAATGGACAATTTGAGAGTACTAGCTGGGTGCGGTTAGAAATCAGGTATTTATCTCGAGGGACGACGTACGAAGATTCGAATCAAAGTGTGGATTTGTTGGAGTCGAAGTAAGTTGTCAATGGTCCCGAAGTGCGATGGAGATGGAATGAGGAGCTTGCTGGATGGTGGTGGGTGATACAGTTCAAGGACGAGTGCTGAGCGCTGGGCGCTCATCCGGTTGCTGTCAAGTTGCTGTGAAGGCACTTATTATGGAGACTGAGATAATACATAGCTCACTCTTTTTGTCGGCGCTCGCCTCTGATCTCCAGACGAGGTGGGTAGCAATATCAAGTGAACCGCACATTAATTTGAAGTTAGACTCGGAGGACCCACAACCTCCCGTCACATTTCACGGATTATTCAAATTGCCATCCTTCTAGACCCATTTCCCGCATGAACTTGCGGTGGATGCAAACAAACACGTTGAACATCACTAATAGTCTCATAGCGCCTACAAGAGCTAAGGGCTGGAGGGGAAAAATAAGAATGCTCTTCAGCATGAGCTACCAGGGCGGGCATGGCTGTTGGCTGTCGAGGTGAGTATTGAATCTTGGATATTGAGCGCTGAGCGCTAAGCGTTGAAACGTTGACTTTCAGTGGCACTGTGGAAACTCCGGAAGATAATCAAGATTACAAATACCAGAATCGGAACCGGGCTCATGAACGGAAAGTATGACATCACCGCTTCTTCGACTGGATATCTCGATGCGTGATTGTTGAAGATACGAGCTCTCTATACTCCATGCTTGATTTGAAGGTGCGTATCTGTGTTTCTCGATCGCATAAAAGACCAGTGGTAGTGTCAAGTACACGCAGCGGAGTATTGTCAGGAATGACTTTTCGAATAGCACGGTCCGCTTCGGATAGACTGAGATACTGCTGGCGCAACTCTGCAGAAATAGTTAAAGCATGCTGATGTGTGAGTTATTGGGGCTTACTTCGTGTCTCGGCATTCGGCCTGTAGCCGCGATATGAGGTGAGAGGCAGTGGACGATAGAGTTTGAGGCGCACCTAGTTTTTCCTTTCCTTTGCCCTTTTGTTTCAATGTCTTTTTTCCCGCCTTGTCTTCGTCAAAAATTCCTTTGAAACGCTCGTTACCTACAACTTTGAATTGTGTGTCTCGGAAACGGGGGTCAGTCTTCAACCGCGCAAATCGTGGGTCAGACATGGTATGTCGATCTGTCAGCGACTAGACAAGCCACAGACGATAAGTCGATGAGTGCTATCACTGCCTATCAGTGGGCGACGAAATGAAAATGTTATCCAGCAACTATGCACGAACGCTACCATGAACACTCACGAGCGAGTGCTACTTGTTGTCGCGGATGGCAGTCAACTCGAGTGTTTTAGTGTGGCCAGCGCGATGATTCGAAATAAATTCGAAGCGGACGTGTTAGTAGTACTAGGTCAAATGCGCAACGTTTGTACACCATGAAGTCACGGTGGTTTGGTAGCCACAACAGAATCAAAATGTGTTTCTCTTGGGCTTTTCTATCGGAACACACCTTGACATTCGATGGTGTCGAGGACCGAGGTTCACCTTAACTGGTCTTAGCCAAGTGGTTACTACAACTGAATTATGTATACACCCCAGCTTTTCAACTGCGGGCATGTTTAATTGTATGCATCTATTTCGCGGACACGTCGAGTTCACGTTCTCCTCACAACTGTCGGATGCAGAACTGATCAAGACAAAACGCGATAACACCTACACAAATTGAGTAATCTGATAGAATATTAGATGAGAACCTCCATCCCGCCCCATTCCAACACCCTGAACAAAGTCGCATCACCAGCTCTTGTAGGATCAACTCCAACTACATCCACCCACCAAGCAACGTCTTTCTCTGCTTGCATTTGTGCGTTGACCCAATTTGCTAAGTGCCCCTTACAGATACCTTTGAACAACATGAATATACGAGTCACGACATCAGGCTGCGGAGAAATGCGTAAAGAAGCGGCGCGTTCATATGCCGCTTGAGGGACAAATCGGAGGGCAATGTATTCGTGTTTAAGGATAGATGCTAGCCAGTATCTACCACAGCAGTTTTAGTGACGTGTTTATGATTTGACCGCCTGAGGGTAGCGCATATGTACGCACGTTATGAATGATGTTCTAGCTTCGGTGTGAAGTCCCAAAACCTTGAGTGATTTATCGAGGTAAACTGTTGCTTTGTCCACTGGGATGACAATTGAATCCATATCATTGAGACTGCTGGATATTGGATTGAATGTATCCACTGGTTGCGGTTTGGATGCTGGTGACCGGGGAAATGCTTGCACATTTGTCCTGCGAAGAGTGATACAAGTTAGGAGAATGATTTCTGTATCATCAGGGGACTTACTCCGCCTCCCAAAACAAGTACGACACGTCTAACCCAGAATTACGCTCAGTCAGACTCCCATCTTGATGGGTGTGGACATTCCATTCTAAACGATGTCCGTGGTCTCCTGCGGTAACAATGGGATAGATGACAGAGAGGCTCCACTCGGGAAGAAGGGAGAGCTTGATAGAAGCATCGATATCGAAGGGCGAGTATAGATAAATGACTGGTTTTTTAACAAGTATCCGATTCCGAGGCCGATAAAATCGAAGATTGATGCAGTCACCATCTTTGATGTCGTACGATCCGATACTTCGCTCCGCATCCATCATTACCCCAAAACTCAAAGCTACCTCGATAGGGGTAAGACTAAATGCCTGCATAGCATCAGCAACAAGTTGTTCCACCCGCATTCCCCTCGAGATTTCAGCAGTCTGAATCTCGCCAGATGGAAGAACAACTTTGATTGTGACTTTGTCATCGTTCCTGCCATGTTGTCTCAACTTCAGTAGTGAAAACACTTCTAGAATATTTGGGGTGCGTACGAGCTGTCCTGTTCGTTAACCTGACTTGGCGCCGATGTCATTTCCGCACGCCGAGTCACCTCAACGACGTTAAGCAAGTCAATGCCATCGTCCCATATTTCAGCCGTGATGTCCACATAGTGGCCATTGCAAGCATCGAGTTGATTGGTCTGCAACGCGACCACATCTTTCGGGATGCTTGGGAAATGTTTGCGGGCAGAGTCAATCATGAGCTTATGATATCTACTATGAGCCATTAAAGATTTGAATGGTTGTTCCACTCACATTATACGACCTTTGCCGTTTAACCATCACCCGTTTTTGACCATGTTTCAGAACAACACATGGCAGAATATGTTTCTCTTCAGTCTGAGTCCCCCTACTAAAAACAGGCATTTAGAGGTACGAAGAAGTTTGAAGCCTTCAAGTAGCGGGTGACGACACTGTCTATGATGAGCTGGCACTCGATCCCTCAATAGCAGCAGGCGGCTCGGTAGCTATTGCGTCCACCGCGTCATGCTATGTTGCTGCGCATTTTGTGCTGTTGGTCTGTGGCACATCTCTCTCTTTCGCATACGGGTGCCAGGGACTCAAGTACTCAACACTGGAACCAGCATATAAGCAGTCCATCTTCACATCTGGGAGCGGGTGATCGCTCGTCCCTTTGTAAAAGTGTCAAAGTAGTAGCATCATGAGCATATAAGTACCCTACCAGCATGACAGTAAAGGATTCCGTCCCCCTTATGTCCCCATCACACGAAAGGCGACCACTCGTCCACGAGGTTGGCGAGGGTCTGGTCGTGGCTGCATGCAGCCGGCTGGGGACCGCGCGGTCGGCCTAGTGCGACGAAAGTGAAGAAACAGGCAAATATAAACAGCGTTATGCATAAGTTCCAGATCTACACAAGGGTGTGAAGATGTCGTAGCATAGGCAGTAATTGCGAACCTGGGTAGTGAACATGAATACATAGGTGTAGCCAAATATGGTGAATGAAAGCCCAAACATCCAGTCTGTGATCGTCGAGGATGGCGTTCAATGACACTGATAACAAATACTAGATGGGAATGACACACACAGGAAAGGCTTCGTGACGAGAAGTACGAGACAAATCGGATAAGTGAAAATCGTCTTCACCGAGTTCGTCACCGTTCTAAGTCCTTTCCTTCCGGTAGCACATCTCCACTGTCTTTCGTCTCGAATGACATTCGCAATGAGCTCCAAGCAATGCAGCCCAAGCGTCAATGGTCCCTGGATAACTGCTATATTGACAAAGTGCAGAATACACACCTCAAGGATTGACACCCGGCATAACATACACGATGGAATTGGACAGCCCCTTGATGAACGACCACGTGTGTGTGGTCAGCGCATTGGAGCATATTAAATGCGTACCGGCGGACTTGTCCCAGATATACATGACGAGTGCGGCCCTTCCAGCACATACTGCAACGATCATCCAAAGAGAAAAGACAACTTTCCGGATGCTAGGGTGAGCATGCTACGCAAAGGACCATATCTCTGGTGGCCTCGCTAGACCTCCGTCCATGTCTAGGTCACAACACATACACCGGAAAGCAGCAGGGGTCAATTGCACGTGGTGGACCAATGCGGTAGTCAAGTCGAAAGGTGAGGAGCTCCACGTCAATATTTTGGCAGCCCATATCCCTGATAATGCGATCATCACCTGAAAGAGGAGTGCGACGCCCAAAAAGAGGAGAGGTAACCCTGCAATGGCAATACCCTCCCAAAATGTTTGTGGCGTTATTTGACAGTCGAGACATACAAGGAGTGAGGCCGAGCTGTAGGATATAATGAGGACAGCCGAGACACTATTAAGCAGGGCGCCATTAGGGTTATACCATACACGAGCTGCAGTCAGAGGGCGCAGATTGGTGTCGAACCGAAACCGAAACCGAGACTCTGAGGCTAGCGCAGAGCGCAATGAGATGCCGTGTATGAAGCTGATGGACTCGGTGCATAACGTGACGATTAAGTAAAGTGTCATGGCCAATATATCCCCCTGTAGGGGAAACTGAGCCCACTTCTCAGGATTGACCACGGCTACTCCCAAGACTCCGTGATTGGCTAAAGTGACAATGCCTGCAATGATGCATGAGCAGCTGAAGATACTTGAGCATGCTACTCCGACAAGGGCATATCTGCGAGTCGTCATACTGCGGTCATAGAAATCTGTTCTAGTATCAGCAGTGAACTTCGCATGAGATAATATCAAGTCACAGTGACAGTCGTGGTGATTCGGGAGTGTGTCATATGCAAGAAGGTTAGACAGATACCAATTTTCTTTTGCCGGTTTGGAAGAAGTGGTCATGGGAGGCAGAGACAGGAGGGCCAGCGCATTACGGACAAGCAGATTAAATATATAACTTTTCACTTATGACCATAGCCTCTGGGTGCATGTGACATGGAGGTGGAGCATCATGATCGTCATGGAAGAGCGGTCGGAGTGCCACACGGTATTTATGTGTATCCGGTGCACCATTGATTTACCTTGAACGCAGCGCGGAAATACCGAAAGTGCACATGTCAGGATGGTGATCGCTTGAAGCTTGATGTTTGGTCAGACCAATTGAATTCTTCCATCATGTGATGCCAATGACACAGCCACCATAGTACCGCACGTACCGCATTCTAACCGTTTTACCGTTCAATTTCTCCGAGACACTCACACAAGTATCTATCGTTCTGGACACTATACTGGCAGGAACTTACAGCTGTAATTGCGTATCTATTGCAAATTCGAAGAAAAAAGAAAGTGAGTACATGATAATAACAAGAGCCTCGGGTGCAAGTCGGGATGGGTGCCATGGAACGAGGCCGCAGGGAAGTACGCATAAGCTTCAAGTTGTGCATGTTGACCCTTCGGAAAGCAGAGATAGAAGATCCAAATATTATTATTAATGGATCTATCACCGCATGAAATGATGAACAACACCTGCCAGTGGTGAATGACACATCGCTACATCGTATTTTTACTAATATTTCGGTCGCCTCGGACCTGCTCTCGCAATTGAGGTTTATAATGAGGTCGCGCCATCTTCATCACCATAGTCAAAGATGTTTATCACTGCGCGATCTGTGGCATTGAAACTGTCTACTAGAGCCAATCTATTGGTCGTGTCGCAGGTTTTGCTTGCGCTAGAAGCCTTGTCTGCTCCGGCAGCCACCGTATCTACACCAATCGTCAACTTGGCTTATGCTCAGTACCAGGGATCAGTTGACACGGCGACAAACATCACCAGCTTCCTTGGAATACGCTACGCGGCTCCTCCAGTTGGTGCGTCTAGTTCTGTTTGTTGCAGACAATCTCAGCTCATGCACCAATAGGCGACTTGAGATGGGCAGCTCCGCAGCCTCCATTGGCCGTCTCTGGGGTTCAACAAGCTACCACCCAACCAAACGAATGCAATCAAGCACCCGTAGGCAACGCTTCGACAAATTCGTTTGAAAGCACCTCTATGAGGAAAAGGGGTATTAGTCAATCTGAAGACTGTTTATTCTTGAAGTAAGCCTGTCATGAAACGATGATGTTGACATTTACAATCAGTGGTTACGCCCGCTAGTGTATACACTCCTGGAAGTGAAGTGGTGGCCACTCCGGCAGGAGGGCTACCAGTTGTCGTTTGGATTCACGGAGGAGGGTATATTGAAGGAGCTGCAAGCGAATTTAGTGGCGCAGATCTAATTCTAGACTCGAGTTATGGTGTCATCACTGTCTTAGTTCAGTACCGCCTCGGTTTATTTGGTATGTTTCGTTGTTCCTCTCAGTTTCAAATGCATACTAAGGTGTTTACACTACCGATTAGGTTTTCTTGCTGGCGAAGCGGTCAAGGAAGGGGGTGCACTCAATGCTGGACTACGTACGTGATTCAATACCATGGTCTGGCCGCAGTCATTGAGATTCAGCTGAACTTAATATTCTAAGTCGACCAGAACTATGCGTTACAGTGGGTGCAGGCCCACGTGAGCAAAACCCCTTACTTGCGTGGTGTACCCCAGCTGATAGGAAGCTCGCCCGGATAGATAAGCAGCTTCGGTGGCGACCCTACGAAGGTCACAATTTGGGGAGAGTCCGCTGGTGAGCTGTGCTAGGTACTCTTCATCATTACCGTTTTTATTTACTACTTTGTTTCAGGTGCCGGTTCAGTGCTACAACATATCGTTGCTCATGGAGGAAACACGCAGCCTCCCCTCTTCACAACCGCCATGACGAGTTCTACGTTCTTGCCGTCCCAATACAACTATAATGACCGGATTCCAGAGGTGATTCTTGTTCATGAGAATGATGTCCGCAGGGTCCTGAACACCACTACCAGATGTTGTATAGCGAGATCGTTAATGGAACAAAGTAAATCCTTTGGAAAACCGCCATTCCATATCTAATTCCTCAACTCGCAGCTGTACCTCAAGTTCGGATACCCTCTCTTGTTTACGCGCTGCAGATGTCAACACGCTGCAGACCTTGAACTATGACATCAACTTCAACGGGTTCTTTGGCACGTTCGTATTCGTCCCTGTTGTGGATGGCACTTTCATCTTAGAGAGGCCTACCGTGACGATAAGTAAAGGTCGTTTAAATGGCGTACGATCCATCAATGCATCTATCTCACAAACAAACTGAGACCCTTTCTCCCTTAGAACTATTTCCTTGCTATGACCAATTCGCATGAGGGGAACATTTTCGTCGACCAATCTACGACATTGGATGTTGCAGATTATGTCAAGACGCTTTTCCCGAATTTCGGTTCTGCTCAAGTTGCTGGAGCGGTGACGATGTACCAGAACTACGAAAGTGACGTTACCCAGGCAAATCTTGTGATGAGTGACTGTATGTGTATTTTTGATGCAATGATCAATGTCCCTGATTTCATGGGTCGTTTTAGCAATATTCCTTTGCCCTACTTATTATCTCCTCTCGGTATTGGGAGAACGAGCTTGGAAAGTGAGTTCGAGGCAACTTGCAATCTATGTATACTGAATACAAGCAGGGCGAGTTTGCAATCCCGCCTGGCCTGCATGGAACCGATATTGCGTACTACTTCACCTCATATGAGTAAGTTGCAGCAATGGGTCAACCCCTACTTTGATTGTATACTGTTTCAGGGGTGGTCCTCCATACAACAATTCGCAGTTCATCACTGCTTTCTCGAATTCATTCATGGCTATGGCCATGTTGGATACTCCTGACGACAGATACACGCCAGGGGATATCACACCTTCCTGGACATCTTGGCAATCTAATATGACAGAGATGAAGTTCAACGAGACATCCGCGGGAGTACCCGACGTTCACACTTTCAAGACTGATAGCGCCTTGCTGGAGCGTTGCGCGTGAGTACCATATTTATGATGAGCCAAGGCGCTGAGCCAAATGCATGTAGCTATTGGCTAAACGTGTCAGCGTATTCAGCGCAGTGAATGGAAGCTGAGCGCTGCTCTGGCATCTGCGTGAGTTGAATAGTCCTGCGACATGTTTGTCATCCGTATATCAGCTTGTCACAAATGCTCTGGTCGTAGGATTAGAATATCAAATGAGAATCTCCATCCCGCCCCATTCCAACACCCTGAACAAAGTTGCATCACCAGCTCTTGCAGGATCAACTCCAACTATATCCACCCACCAAGCAACATCTTTCTCTGCTTGCATTTGTGCGTTAGCCCAATTTCCTAAGTGCTCCTTACAGATACCTTTGAACAACATGAATATACGAGTCACGACGTCAGGCTGCGGAGAAATGCGTAAAGAAGCGGCGCGTTCGTATGCTGCTTGAGGGACAAATCGGAGGGCAATGCATTCGTGTTTAAGGATGGATGGTAGCCAGTAGCTACCACGGCAGTTTTAGCGACGTGTTTATGATTTGACAGCCTGAGGGTAGCGCATATGTACGCACGTTATGAATGATGTTCTAGCTTCGGTGTGAAGTCCCAAAACCTTGAGTGATTTATCGAGGTAAACTGTTGCTTTGTCCACTGGGATGACAATTGAATCCATATCATCGAGACTACTGGATATTGGATTGAATGTATCCACCGGTTGCGGTTTGGATGCTGGTGATCGGGGAAATGCTTGCACATTTGTCCTGCGAAGAGTAATACAAGTTAGGAGAGTGATTTCTGTATCATCAGGGGACTTACTCCGCCTCCCAAAACAAGTACGACACGTCTAACCCAGAATTATGCTCAGTCAGACTACCATCTTGATGGGTGTGGACATTCCATTCTAAATGATGTCCGTGGTCCCCTGTGGTGACAATGGGATAGATGACGGAGAGGCTCCACTCAGGAATAAGGGAGAGCTTGACAGAAGCATCGATATCGAAGGGCGAATATAGATAAATGACTGGTTTTTTAGCACGCATCGAAGGCGCATTAAATCGAAGATTGATGCATTCACCATCCTTGATGTTGTACCGTCCGATACTTTGCTTCGCACCCATCATGGTCGCACCCAAAGCTGCCCGGACAGGGGTGAGACTCAATGCCTGCATAGCATCAGCAACAAGTTGTTCCACCCGCATTCCCCTCGAGATTGTAGCAGTCTGAATCTCGCCAGATGGAAGAGCAACTTTGATTGTGACTTTGTCATCGTTCCTGCCAGGTTGTCTCAAATTCAGTACTGAAAATACTTCTAGAATATTTGGGGTGCGTACGAGCTGTCCTGTTCGTTAACCTGACTTAGTGCCGATGTCATTTCCGCACGACGAGTCACCTCAATGACATTAAGCAAGTCAATTACATCGTCCCATATTTCAGCCGTGATGTCCACATAGTGGCCATTGCAAGCATCGAGTTGATTGGTTTGCAAGGTGACCACATCTTTCGGGATGCTTCGAAAATGTTTGCAGGCAGAGCCAAACATGAGCTTATGATATTTACCATGAGCTATTAAAGATTTAAATTGTTGTTCCACTCACATTATACGACCTTTGCCGTTAACCATCACCCGTTTTTGACCATGTTTCAGAACAATACATGGCAAAATTTGTTTCTCTTCAGTCTGAGTCCCCCTACTAAAAACAGACATTTGGAAGTACGAAGTTTGAAGCCTTCAAGTAGCGGGTGACGACACTGTCTATGATGAGCTGGCACTCGATCCCTTAATAGCAGCAGGCAGCTCGGTAGCTATTGCATCCACCACGTCATGCTATGTTGCTGCGCATTTTTTGCTGTTGGTCCGTGGCACATCTCTCTCTTTCACATACGTGCATGAATAGTATCGGGCAAATTAATTGACATGCTCGGTGAGTTCTGTCCCGATATCGAACGTAGACTTAGGTATGGTGCTACATGGTAGGGAGCGAAGGAGAGCATGGTTTGGAGCCGGGAGGGCGCATGAGGGAAGTGGTAGTGCATCAGCCAGAGGATGTGACGTTACAAGGTCCGGGGATCGAATGGGGGTGATGGGCTCAGGTAGGAGCGTTAAAGGGGGGCCTTGTCGGGTGCAACGACTAAGGTAGTAGGAGCTCGGCAAAACTGGGAGGGCGCAGTTAGGTGAAGAGATAGCCCAAATGAGGGAGGGCGCAGTTGGGGTAGGCATGGTACCATATGGCATGATTAAGTGTGGTTGGGTGGTAAAAGTGTGCTGGGGGCCAGGAGGGAGCCTGAGAGCTGGGAGAGCGCAGTTGGGTGCAGTTTTATGGTGGGAGGTGTACCTGGGTACTGGAAGGATGCTGGATGTACTCCCGGGCGAAAGGAAGGTGCTGGAGGGCTGCAAAAATATCATAGAGGGTGCGGTTGGGCAAAAGGTGCTCGAAGATGTTGGGTATGGTGGCGATGAAGATCAGCACCCACAACAACTAGGCAAGTCACGGAAACGATGGCATGGAGGAGGGCCGCTACCAGTATTAGAATGAACTTTGGCATGATTGCAAACGCACCGTGTTTACTGCCGACTCCGCAGCGCACTCATATAGGACCTGTCTTGCGGTTCCACAGCGCTGTATGCTTGTTTCCTAACAGTCTTAGTGGAACTTGCCTGGGCATTCAGTGTCGAGTGTTTATGCTACGGGGGTTAGTGGCGGCAGCCTGGGACCCGGAGTTTCAACGAACTCTCCTCCTCTCACCGTCATCGGTGCATTTAACATTACTGCCATTGTCGACTGGCTCACCCGTCGTGCGCCTACCTGGAATTCCAGTGACTCCAACCTGGTGCGTGTTTTATGTGTGTTGTAGACTTCGGCAAGCGAGCAAAGTTGCTAAAACCGCTTCATAATAGTATTATGATGAGGTGGACGTTCTTATGTAACGCGTCCTACTTATATTTCCTTCTGCCGCCATGTCACCCCCGCCAGTGTGGCCACCTACTACTACTAGAAAGACTCGTGCAGTGTTTTTTTTTTAGCTCGTCGAGCTCAAGCGCAAATTATCCCCAACTGTTGCTGTCGAGGTATCTAGTATCTGACTCAAGGTACGCATTAGCCTCTTCGATGCAGCCATGGGATGCGCCAACATCCTTTCAGAACACGGACACTCAAAATAGAACGCATATGGCCCGAGTCAGACTCGCTCAACTAGATATTACCGCATGAGACCCTTGAGAACTTGAAGTGAGTGTCTCCCTTCATTGTATTGGATAGACATGTTTACCTCTGCAGTGTTGTCATACTGCTTGTTCCTACATCGACGCACGGCACTCCAGCGCCAATGAATTGCCTGGTGTTATGTTCATACAGCTCAACATTAACGCTCTCAAGATGACATGTCGGGCGGTAGTATTCTCTCGTGTGCTACATGTGTCTTATTGTGATGCTTACTGTTGCAGAGTTACACTACCGAAGGCTCGAGGCTTTGGATCTTGTAAGTCCCATTACTCTGGCTATCCCTATGGTCGTGCACTCATTCACGTCTAGGTTGCTGACTGCGTGTGGACCGTGAAGTTCTCCAGCGGCACGCTACATTATCTAGGCACTGGGTATCATCAGCAGGGGTAGGACAGTCTCAAATATAAGTTTGCAAGTCAGCTAAACGACTTGTCCTCTACAAAATCACAATGATTCAACAATTGCTTGATCACAGATTGACTTGAATTTGACCGCCAGAAATTGTGCCTGGTATGAATGATCCCGAGCTACTTACAATGCTCTCGTTCCACGGCGTGGGTTGATGATCGTGTGCGCCGTCAATGCATCGCCAGCCCGACTGACGCAGCCCCTCTGTTTACAAAACAGAAATTAGAAAAGTGAAAGGCAAAGCAAGTACCTCTCACGAGACGGGTGCCAGAGACTCAACACCGGAACCGGCATAAAAGTAGTCCATCTTCACATCTGGGAGCGGGTGATCGCTCGCCCCTTTGTAGAAGTGTCAAAGTAGTAGCATCGTGACCATATAAGTACCCTACCAGCATGACAGTAAAGGATTCCGTCCTCCTTATGTCCCCACCACATGACAGGCGACCACTCGTCCACTCGGTTCGCGAGAGTCTGGATGTGGCCGCATACAGCTGGCTGGGGACCGCGCGGTCGGCGCGGTGAGACGAAATTGAAGAAACAGGCAAATATAAACAGCACTATGCATAAGTTCCAGATCTGCAAGAGGGTGTGAAGATGACGTACATAGGTAGTAAGTGCAAACCTGGGCACTGAACAAGAATACTGATGACACGTTTAGTGTCCGACTTCATAAGCGTAGCCAAATATGGTGAATGAAAGCCCAAACATTCAGTCTGTGATTGTCGAGGATGGCGTTCAATAACACTGATATATGCTATCAGAAGCATCTCATTTGCATAGGACACACAAGAACTTTGAACTACTCGACGTCATAATGATCGAGCACTGGTTATCGTCTCACAGAAGCCGTGACCGTCAGCCTAATAATACCTAACGGGTTTCTGGACTTTTGGTGATGTGGTCTTCGACGAGCGATCTGTTGGCTACGCCAAGCCGCGGCCTGTTTTGGCCTAAGCTCGGCTTTGGGCTGGCTTTGGCTTACAGTCTAGGCGCAGAATATTAAGAGCCTAAGCCGGGCCAGAACATCACTACCAGTGGTCAGTGTGAGGTTTATAATGAGGTCGCACCATCTTCATCACCCTAGCCAAGGATGTTTATAACTGCGCGATCTGTGGGATTGAAACTGTCTACTACAGCCAATCTATTGGTCGTGTCGCAGGTTTTGCTTGTGCTAGAAGCCTTGTCTGCTCCGGCAGCCACCGTATCCGCACCCATCGTCAACTTGGGTTATGCCCAGTACCAGGGATCAGTTGACACGGCGACAAACATCGCCAGCTTCCTTGGAATACGCTACACAGCCCCTCCAATTGGTGCGTCTAGTTCTGTTTATTGCACAAAATCTCAGTTCACGCACCAAGCGCATAGGCGACTTGAGATGGGCAGCTCCGCAGCCTCCATTGGGCGCCTCTGGGGTTCAACAAGCTACCACACAACCAAACGAATGCAATCAAGCACCCGTAGGCACCTCTTCGACAAACCCGCTTGAAAGCATCTCTATGAGGAAAAGGGGTATTAGTCAATCTGAAGACTGTTTATTCTTGAAGTAAGACCCGTCATGGAATGATGATTGCAATCAGTGCTTACGCGGCGGTAGTGTATACACTCCTGGAAGTGAAGTGGTGGCCACTCCTGGAGGAGGGCTCCCAGTTGTTGTTTTCATTCACGGTGGGGGGTATATCGAAGGAGCTGCAAGCGAATTTAGTGGCGCAGATCTAATTATAGACTCGAGTTATGGTGTCATCACTGTCTTAGTTCAGTACCGACTCGGTTTATTCGGTATATTTTGTTGTTCCTCTCAGTTTCAAATGCATACTAAGGTGTATACACTACTGATTAGGCTTTCTTCCTGGCGAAGCGGTCAAGGAAGGGGGTGCACTCAATGCTGGACTACGTACGTGATTCAATACCATGGTCTGGCCGCAGTCATTGAGATTCAGCTGAACTTAATATTCTAAGTCGACCAGAAATATGCGTTACAGTGGGTGCAGTCCTACGTGAGCAGAACTCTTTACTTGCGTGGTGTACCCTAGCTGATAGGAAGCTCACCCGGATAGATAAGCAGCTTCGGTGGTGACCCCACGAAGGTCACAATTTGGGGAGAGTCCGCTGGTGAGCTGTGCTAGGTACTCTTAATCATTACCGTCTTTATCTACTACTTTGTTTCAGGTGCCGGTTCAGTGCTACAACATATCGTTGCTCATGGAGGAAACACGCAGCCTCCCCTCTTCACAACCGCCATGACGAGTTCTACGTTCTTGCCGTCCCAATACAACTATAATGACCGGATTCCAGAGGTGATTCTTGTTCATGAGAATGATGTCCGCAGGGTCCTGAACACCACCACCAGATGTTGTATAGCGAGATCGTTAATGGAACAAAGTAAATCCTTTGAAAAACCGCCATTCCATATCTAATTCCTCAACTCGCAGCTGTACCTCAAGTTCAGATACCCTCTCTTGTTTACGCGCTGCAGATGTAAATACGCTGCAGACCTTGAACTATGACATCAACGTCAACGGGTTCTTTGGCACGTTCGTATTCGTCCCTGTTGTGGATGGCACTTTCATCTTGGAGAGGCCTACCGTGACGATAAGAGAAGGTCGTTTGAATGGCGTACGATCCATGAATGCATCTATCTCACAAACAAACTGAGACCTTTCTCCCTTAGAACTATCTTCTTTCTATGACCAATTCGCATGAGGGGAACATTTTCGTCGACCAATCGATGACATTGGATGTTGCAGATTATGTCAAGACGCTTTTCCCGAATTTCGGTCCTGCTCAAGTTGCTGGAGCGGTAGCACTGTACCAGAACTACGGAAGTAACGTTAACCAGGCAGATCTTGTGATGGGTGAATGTATGTGTATTTTTGAAGCAATGATCAATGTCCCTGATTTATGGGTCGTTTTAGCAATATTCCTTTGCCCCACTTATTATCTCCTCTTAGCATTTGGAGAACGAGCTTGGAAAGTGAGTTCGAGGGAATTTGCAATCTATGTATACTGAATACAAGCAGGGCGAGTTTGCAATCCCGCCTGGCCTGCATGGAACCGATATTGCGTACTACTTCACCTCATATGAGTAAGTTGCAGCAATGGGTCAACCCCTACTTTGATTGTATACTATTTCAGGGGTGGTCCTCCATACAACAATTCGCAGTTCATCACTGCTTTCTCGAATTCATTCATGGCTATGGTTATGTTCGAGACTCCTGACGACAGATACACCCCAGGGGATATCACACCTTCCTGGGCATCTTGGCAAGATGATTTGACGGAGATGAAGTTCAACGAGACATTCGCGGGAGCACCCGACGTTCACACTCTCAAGACTGATAGCGCCTTGCTGGAGCGTTGCGCGTGAGTGCCATATTTATGATGAGCCAAGGTGCTAAGCTAAAGGCATGTAGCTACTGGCTGAACGTGTCAGCGTATACATCGCAGTGAATGGAAGTTGAGCGCTGCTCTGGTATCTGCGTGAGTTGAGTAGTCCTGCGACATGTTTGTCATCCATATATCAAATGCTCTGGTTGTAAGATCATGATGTGGCGAGACTTTTGCGTTAATCAAGATATCATTGATTCATCAGTTGGCAACGACCCTACTACTATCCTTACTATGCGTAGCCTTCTGGTGATGTCTAGAACTTCCAGTCTGAGTATATCCACTGTCAGGCCTTCCCAAGACGACCCTATCGTAACGGAGATACATGATTCTTTTGTTCTGAGTGGGCGAAGGCTTTGTTCGAGACACTCAATTTGAACTTGCAAAGCTTGAAGCTTCAACAGTTCCACTTGCCTTTGACTCGGATTTCAATGAGCTCTCCTCCTCTCACCATCATTGCATAACTGCCGCTGTCGACTGGCTCACTCATTGTGCATCTGCCTACCTGGAATTCCTGCATCCAGTGACTCCAACCTGGTGCGTGTTTTGTATGTGTTGCAGACTTCGGCAAGCGAGCAAAGTCGCTAAACCGCTTCTTACTCACGGGGTGTGGAGGTGAATTCCTTTTCATGATCAGACTATCACATAAAAAGGAGGTTTCGGTCCAATGACTGGACCTAGTTAAGATGGACCTCCGAGGATCCATACACCGCAAAAGTGTTGTCAGCAGGTTTCGAACCTACTCCAAGAGAAACAGATGTCGACTCTGAAACCTGTCATTCGGCACGTTTTGAACCTGCGTCAAAGAGCGACAGATTTGGATTCTGTTGTAGTAACCACTTGGTTAAGAACGGTTAAGATCAGCGCCGAAACCATCCATAAGTAAATGACAAAGTATGTTATGATAGGAAAAATGTTGTCGTCGGCAGATTTCGAACCTGCGCAGTCCAAGAGGAACAGATTTTGATTCCGTTGTAGTGACCACTTGGGTAAGACCAGCTAAGATGAGCCTCTGAGGACCTCCGATAGGAAAAAGAAACCTTATCGTCGGTAGGTTTGACTGTTATGGTAACCACCTACTAGTTAAGACCAGTTAAGATGGACCTCTGAGGAGATCATCCATGAGTGATTCTTCAAGGCGTGTTCCAATAGAAAGAAAAAGATGATGTCATTGGCAGGTTTCAAACCTGCGCAGCCCAAGAGAAACAGATTTTAATTCTGTTCTGAATCATCTGATAGGCACTTTGGCCAGGATGAAGTTGAGATGAATCTTCAAGGGGTGCTTCCGACAGAAAAAGGAGCCTGTCGTCGGCAGGTTTCGAATCTGCACTATCCAATAGATACAGATTTTGATTCCGTTGCGGTAACAACTTGGATAAGACCAGTTAAGATGCGTTAGCGACAAAACCATCCACGAGTGAATGTCAAGGCGTGTTAAGTAAGATGGAGAAAAACCTTGTTTCGGAAACAGATTTTGAGTCTATTGTGGTAACCTTTTGGCTACGACTAGTCAAGATAAGCCTCCGAACAAACTACACGAGTGAATGTCAACTATTTAATTATTTGTGTGTTCCGATAGAAAAAAAAACCTTGTTGTCGGCAGGTTTGAGCCTGCACAGTCCAAGAGAAACAGATGTTGCTTCTATTGCGGAAACCACTGTGGCCAGGATGAAGTTGAGAAGAACCTCCGAGGAACTGTCCATGAATGAATCTTCAGGGCGCGCTTCCGATAAAAAAGCAGATCTATCTTGGGCAGGTGTCGAACTTGCACGATCCAAGAGAGACAGATTTTGATTCTGTTGCAGTAACCGCTTGGCTAAGACCAGTTAAAGTTAGCCGCCCACAAAACCATTCATGAGCGAATCTTCGAGGCGTGTTCTGATAGAAAAAAACTGTTGTCAGCAGGTTTCAAACTTGTACAGTCCAAGAGATACAGATTTTGATTCTGTTGTGTGACCACTTGGCCAAGACGAATTAAGATGAGACTCCGAATAATCCATCCACGAGTGAATGTCAAGCCGTATGGCGATAGAAAAAAAACCTTGACATGATCAGCAGGTTTCGAAGCTGCGCAGTCCAAGAGAAACAGATTTTGATTCTGTTGTGGCAGCCACTCGACTTAGACCAGTTAAAAGGGACCTGTGAGGAAACCATCCATGAGTGAATCTTCAAGGCGTGTTCCAATAGAAACAAAATATCTGGTTGTCGGCAGGTTTGGAACCGGCACAGTCCAAGAGAAACAGATTTTGATTCTGTTCTGATAAGCACTTTGGCCAGGATGAAGTTGAGAGGAACCTCCAAGGAACTGTTCATGTGTAAATCTTCAAGGCGTGCTTCCGACAGAAAAAGGGACTTGTCGTTGGCGGGTTTCGAACCTGCACTATCCAAGAGATACAGATTTTCATTCTGTTGCAGAAACAACTTGGATAAGACTAGTTAATATGCGGTAGCGACAAAGCCATCCATGTGTGAATGTCAAGGCACGTTGAGATAGAGAAAAACCTTGGCGTGGGCAGGTTTCAAACTTGCGCAATCCAAGGGAAACAGATTTTGAGTCTGTGGGGGTAACCTCTTGGCTAAGACTATATAAGATAAGCCTGCGAAGAAACCACCCACGAATGAATGTCAAGGTGTGTTTCAATAGGAAAAAAACCTTGTTGTTGGCAGGTTTTGAACCTGCACAGCGCAAGAGAAACAGATTTTGACTCTGTTGTGCTAACCACATTGGCCAGGATGAAGTTGAGATAAACCTCCGAGGAACTGTCCATGAATGAATCTTCAGGGCGCGCTTCCGACAAAAATGCAGACCTATCTTCGGCAGGTTTCGAACCTGCACAGTCCAAGAGATACAGATTTTGATTCTGCTGCAGTAATTGCTTGGCTAAGACCAGTCAGAGTGAGCCCACGACGAAACCATTCATGAGCGAATCTTCGAGGCGTGTTCTGATAGAAAAAATGTTGTCAGCAGGTTTCAAACTTGCACAGGCCAAGAGATACAGATTTGGCAGCATGAACGCAGTCCATCTTCACATCTGGGAGCGGGTGATCGCTCATCCCTTTTGAAAAGTGTCAAAGCAGTAGCATCGTGAGTATATAAGTACCCTACCAGCATGACAGTACGAGATTCCGCCCTCCTTGTGTCCCCACCGCATCACAGGCGACCACCCGTCCATGAGATTGGTGAGCGTCCAGACGTGGCTGTATGCAGCCGACTGGGAACCGTGCAGTCGGCACAGTGCGACGAAAGTGAAGAAACAAGCAAATATAAACAGCGCTATGCATAAGTTCCAGATCTGCACGAGGGTGTGAAGATGTTGCAACAGTTTTACATAGGCAATAAGTGCGAACCTGGGCAGTGAACATGAATACTGATGACACGTTTGATGTCCCGTCATAGGCGTAGCCAAATATAGTGAATGAAAGCCCTAACATCCAGTCTGTGATCGTTGAGGATGGCGTTCAATAAAAAAAACTAGACAGGAATGACTCATACAGGAAAGGCTTCGCGACAAAGTACGAGACAAATCGGAGAGTGAAAATCGTCTTCACCGAGTTCATCACCGTTCTAAGTCCTTTCCCTCCAGTAGCGCAGACCTCCATCCATGTCTAGGTCAGACACAAGTTCCTCCGCGCTAATATTTTGGCAGCCTGTATCCTTGACAATGCGATCATCACCTGGAAGAGGAGTACGACGCCCAAAAAGAGGAAAGGTAACCCTGCGATGGCAATACCCTCCCCAAATGTTTGTAGCATTATTTGACAGTCGAGAGGTACGATGAGCAAGGCCGAGCTGTAGGATATAATGAGGACAGCCGAGACACTATTAAGCAGAACGCCGTCAGGGTTATAACATCCACTCGCTGCAGTCAGAAGGCGCAGATTGGTGTTGAACCGAAGCCGAGACTATGATGCTAGCGCAGAGCGCAATGAGATGCCGTGTATATGAAGCCGATGGACTCGGTGCATAACGTGACGATTAAGTTAAGTGTCAGGGCAGGAGTCACTGAACCCACTCAGGATTGACCACGTTGATTACAGCCACTCCCGAGACTCCGTTGGAGCAGGGCCAGCGGCCTAAGCCCAGAGCAAGGCGGACAAACAGAGATGATGATGATGATGACATGGTGAAATCTAGTCCACGTGCTGACTAAGCTGTGGAAAGGCCGATGGTAGCGCGCGTAGCTCCTGCCCTTGGGACCCCTGGTCCACCGTGATTGGCTAAAGGGATTGATGCCTGCAACAATATATCTACAGGGAATACAACCTGCAGGTCAGGGGATGCGGTATTTACGCACCTAGGTACTGATGGTGATGGAACTTGAAGCTCTTCCATCATATGATCATAATGTAAGTACAATGTATTTTTTAAATTAAATGGATTTATCATCAGGAAATGATGAATATCCCCAATTGCAAAGCACCTGGTGAGTGGAGTCTGGACAGAGCGCAGCATCCTATTTTTACTCATGGTACCGGTATTTAGCTCGGACCCGCTCTTGCAATTGAGCTTTATAATGTCCGTCAGGTTGCACCATCTTCATCACCCTTGTCAAGGATGATTATTACTGCGGGATCTGTGGGATTGAAACTGTCTACTAGAGCCAATCTACTAGTCGTGTCGCAGGTTTTGCTTGCGCTAGGAGCATTATCTTCTCCGGCAGCTACCGTATCTGCACCCATCGTCAACTTGGGTTATGCCCAGTACCAGGGATCAGTTGACACAGCGACAAACATCACCAGCTTCCTTGGAATACGCTACGCAGCTCCTGCAGTCGGTGCGTCTAGTTCGGTTTGTTGCACAAAATCTCAGCTCACGCACCAAGCGCATAGGCGACTTGAGATGGGCAGCCCCGCAGCCTCCGTCGGCCGTCTCCGGGGTTCAACAAGCTACCACGCAACCAGACGAATGCAATCAAGCACCCGGAGGCAACTCTTTGACAAACCCGTTTGAAAGCACCTCTGTGAGGAAAAGGGCTATCAGTCAATCTGAAGACTGTTTATTCTTGAAGTAAGCCCTGTCATGGAATGATGATGTTGACATTTGCAATCAGTGCTTACGCGGCGGTAGTGTATACACTCCTGGAAGTGAAGTGGTGGCCACTCCGGGAGGAGGGCTCCCAGTTGCTGTTTTCATTCACGGTGGGGGGTATATCCAAGGAGCTGCAAGCGACTTCAACGGCGCAGATCTAATTGTGGACTCGAATCACGGTGTCATCAGTGTCTTAATTCAGTACCGCCTCGGTTTATTCGGTATGTTTTTGCTGTTCATGTCACTTTGAGATGCGTACTAAGGTGTATACATTGCCGATTAGGTTTTCTTCCTGGCGAAGCGGTCAAGGAAGGGGGTGCACTCAATGCTGGACTACGTACGTGATTATCATGGTCTGGCAGTCATTCAGATCGAACTGAACTTAATATTCTAAGTCGACCAGAATTATGCGTTACAGTGGGTGCAGACCCACGTGAGCAGGACTCTTTACTTGCGTGGTATACCCCAGCTGATATGAAGCTTACCCGGATAGATAAGCAGCTTCGGTGGCGACCCCACGAAGGTCACAATTTGGGGAGAGTCCGCTGGTGAGCTGCGCTAGGTACTCTTCGTCATTATCGTTCATTACTTTGTTTCAGGTGCCGGTTCAGTGCTACAACATATCGTTGCTCATGGAGGAAACACGCAGCCTCCCCTCTTCAAAAATGCCATGACGAGTTCTACGTTCTTGCCGTCCCAATACAACTATAATGACCGGATTCCGGAGGTGATTCTTGTTCATGAGGGCGATATCCGCAGAATCCTGAATACTACTATCAGATGTTGTATAGTGAGGTCGTCAATGGAACAAAGTAAATTCTTTAAAGAACCGCCATTCCATATCTAATTCCTCAACTTGCAGCTGTACCTCAAGTTCAGATACCCTCTCTTGTTTACGCGCTGCAGACGTCAATACGTTGGAGACCTTGAACTATAACATCAACGCCAACGGGTTCTTTGGCTCGTACGTATTCGTCCCTGTTGTGGATGGCACTTTCATCTTGGAGAGGCCTACCGTGACGATAAGAGAAGGTCGTTTGAATGGCGTACGATCCATGAATGCATCTATCTCACAAACAAACTGAGACCCTTTCTCCCTTAGAACTATCTCCTTTCTATGACCAATTCGCATGAGGGGAACAATTTCGTCGACCAATCGATGACATTGGATGTTGCAGATTATGTCAAGGCGCTTTTCCCGAATTTCGGTCCTGCTCAAGTTGCTGGAGCGGTGACGATGTACCAGAACTACGGAAGTAACGTTAACCAGGCAGATCTTGTGATGGGTGAATGTATGTGTATTTTTGAAGCGATGATCAATGTGCCTGATTTCATGGATCGGTTTAGCAATATTCGTTTGCCCCACTTATTATCTCCTCACAGAATTTGGAGAACGAGCTTGGAAAGTGAGTTCGAGGCAACTTGTAATCTATGTATACTGAATACAAGCAGGGCGAGTTTGCAATCCCACCTGGCCTGCATGGAGATGATGTTCAATACTACTTCATCTCATATGGGTAAGTTGAAGAAATGGGTCAACCCCTACTTTGATTGTATACTGTTTCAGGGGTGGTCCTCCATACAACAATTCACAGTTCATCACTGCTTTCTCGAATTCATTCATGGCTATGGTCATGTTTGAAACTCCTGACGACAGATACACCCCAGGGGATATCACACCTTCCTGGGCATCTTGGCGAGATGATTTGACGGAGATGAAGTTCAACGAGACATTCGCGGGAGCACCCGACGTTCACACTCTCAAGACTGATAGCGCCTTGCTGGAGCGTTGCGCGTGAGTACCATATTTATGATGAGCTAAAGTGCTAAGCTAAAGGCATGTAGGTACTGGCTAAACGTGTCAGCGTATACATCGCAGTGAATGGAAGTTGAGCGCTGCTCTGGTATCTGCGTGAGTTGAATAGTCCTGCGATATGTTTGTCATCCATTATCACGATACATCCGAGTCCTTCGTACGTATCTTTACATACACATTCACCTTATCATACACGTTTCATCTATGTTCACTTTCGTTCTCCGTCTCAATGATTCTTTCATATTCAGCATCAGGATTTTTCCCTTTCCCTCAGTCTTTCTAACTAAGACTGAGCCTTCCTTCCGCGTCTCTAGTCCGAGCCTCTCGTTTCGTCAGATCCATATATCAGGTTGTCACATTGGTGATGACCTGGTTGGCTCTATTGATAGCCGTGTGGATGGAAGATATATCCTCGTCCAAGAGTTGCAAGCGGTGGTATTGGACATGAGGGTGGTTGTGACAAACAAGCGCTCTGTCGATGCTGATGATGTAGGCAATGCCTGCTGAATCAATGAAAGAGATCTTTTCTTTTCTTTTCTTTTCTTTTCTTTTCTTTTCTTTTCTTTTCTTTTCTTTTCTTTTCTTTTCTTTTCTTTTCTTTTCTTTTCTTTTCTTTTCTTTTCTTTTCTTTTCTTTTCTTTTCTTTTCTTTTCTTTTCTTTTCTTTTCTTTTTCTTTTCTTTTCTTTTCTTTTCTTTTCTTTCTTTTCCCGTCTTTTGATGGTGATATTTCGTTTAATTATGATTTAATCGATGTTCATGTATGTCGACTTCGACTGAATTCAAGATAATTTGATGGTATTCGAAGAATAATGACTGAAATTCGAAGTAATTCGAAGTAACTGCGACTGAGCTTGAGAAATCTGGTCGTACTCGATTTCACTGAAATTACGCGGGATTCTCCAAAAAATTCTGAAATTACCTTGTTTTTGTGAAGGAGCTTTTCCCCGATGTAAGGTCCAAGGAAGATGTAAGCTGGAGCGACCAAAACTGCAGCATTCCATTTGCTGTGTATCTGCACTGACTGCACCGTGGTCATTTTGAGGACGAGAGAGGTGCTGGGACGGCGAGACAGTAAGTTACCAGGCTATAGGAAAACCTATATAATCGAGTCAGTGACGAACCACTCAGCAATGAACTTGAAGGTAATCAACCGTGCAGATATCCACGTAGATATCGCAGTGGTGCTTAGCACCGACCTCCGACACTATATCTAGGTTGACACGTATGCACCTCGGGGATATATCTTATGTTTCTGAGACGAGCCTCGCGGGGCGTAGAGGTGAATTCCTTTTCATGGTCAGACTATCACATAAAAAAGGAGGTTTCGGTCCAATGACTGGACCTAGTTAAGATGGACCTCCGAGGATCCATACACCGCAAAAATGTTGTCAGCAGGTTTCGAACCTACTCTAAGAGAAACAGATTTCGACTCTGAAACCTGTCATTCGGCACGTTTCGAACGCGCGTCAAAGAGCGACAGATTTTGATTCTGTTGTAGTAACCACTTGGTTAAGAACGGTTAAGATCAGCACCGAAACCATCCATGAGTAAATGTCAAAGTATGTTATGATAGAAAAAAACGTTGTGGTCGGCAGATTTCGAACCTGCGCAGTCCAAGAGGAACAGATTTTGATTCTGTTGTGGTGACCACTTGGCTAAGATCAGCTAAGAGGAGCCTCTGAGGAACTCCGATAGGAAAAAGAAACCTTATCGTCGGCAGGTTTGACAGATTTTGATTCTGTTATGGTAACCACCTACTAGCTAAGACCAGTTAAGATGGACCTCTGAGGAGATCATCCATGAGTGATTCTTCAAGGCGTGTTGCAATAGAAAGAAGAAAAAACGTTGTCGTTAGCAGGTTTCAAACCTGCGCAGCCTAAGAGAAACAGATTTTGATTCTGTTCTGATAAGCACTTTGGCCAGGATGAAGTTGAGATGAATCTTCAAGGGGTGCTTTCGACAGAAAAAGGAGCCTGTCGTCGGCAGGTTTCGAACCTGCACTATCCAATAGATACAGATTTTGATTCCGTTGCGGGTAACAACTTGGATAAGACCAGTTAAGATGCGTTAGCAAGGCGTGTTATGTAAGATGGAGAAAAACCTTGTCGTGGACTCATGGGCAGGTTTCGGAAACAGATTTTGAGTCTATTGTGTCAACATTTTGGCTAAGACTAGTTAAGATAAGCCTCCGAAGAAACTATACGAGCGAATGTCAATTATTGAATTATTTGTGTGTTCCGATATAAAAAAAACCTTGTTGTTGCCAGGTTTGGAACCTGCACAGTCCAAGAGAAACAGATGTTGATTCTATTGCGGGAATCACTTTGGTCAGGATGACGTTAAGATGAACCTCCGAGGAACTGTCTTTGAATGAATCTTCAGGACGCGCGTCCAACAAAAAAGCAGAACCTATTTGCGGCAGGTTTCGAACCTGCACGGTCCAAGAGAGACAGATTTTGATTCTGTTGCAGTAACCGCTTGGCTAAGACCAGTTAGAGCGAGGCTCCGACGAAACCGTTCATGAGCGACTCTTCGAGACGTGTTCTGATAGAAAAAAACTGTTGTCAGCAGGTTTCAAACTTGCACAGTCCAAGAGATACAGATTTTGATTCTGTTGTGTGACTACTTGGCTAAGACGGGTTAAGATGAGACTCCGAATAATCCATTCACGAGTGAATGTCAAGGCGTGTTGCGATAGAAAAAAACCTTGACAAGATCGGCAGGTTTCGAAGCTGCGCAGTCCAAGAGGAACAGATTTTGATTCTGTTGGGGCAACCACTCGACTTAGACCAGTTAAGAGGGACCTCTGAAGAAACCATCCATGAGTGAATCTTCAAGGCGTGTTCCAATTATTGAGGAGTGAAGAGGCTCGGACTAGAAACGAAGAAGAAAGAGCTAAGTATCGCTAGTCAGTATGTATATATGTAGAGTTGTAATAAGCATGCTCACCTCAGTCTCAGTTGGAAAGACTGAGGAAAAGGAATATCGTAGACGCTACATATTAGAGAATCGTTGAGACGGAGAACGAAAACGTGAACGTGGATGGAACGTGTATGATAGGTGAATGTGCATGTAAAATGGATACGTACGAAGAATGTATCATGATACCAATGGAAACAAAAAACCTTGTTGCCGGCAGGTTTGGAACCTGCACAGTCCAAGAGAAACAGATTTTGATTCTGTTCTGATAAGCACTTTGGCCAGGATGAAGTTGAGAGGAACCTCCGAGGAACTGTCCATGAGTGAATATTCAAGGTGTGCTTCCAACAGAAAAAGGAACCTGTCGTCGGGAGGTTTCGAACCTGCACGATCCAAGAGATACATATTTTGATTCTATTGCAGTAACAACTTGAATAAGACCAGTTGATATGCGGTAGCGACAAAACCATCCATGAGTGAATGTCAAGGCATGTTAAGATAGAGAAAAACCTTGGCGTGGGCAGGTTTCAAACTTGCGCAATCCAAGGGAAACAGATTTTGAGTCTGTGGTGGTAATCTCTTGGCTAAGACTAGTTAAGATAAGCCTCCGAAGAAACCATCCACGAGTGAATGTCAAGGTGTGTTCCGATAGGAAAAAAACCTTGATGTTGGCGGATTTTGAACCTACACATTGCAAGAGAAACAGATTTTGACTCTGTTGTGCTAACTACATTGGCCAGGATGAAGTTGAGATGAACCTCCGAGGCACTGTCCATGAATGAATCTTCAGGGCGCGCTTCTGACAAAAAGCAGACCTATCTTCGGCAGGTTTCGAACCTGCACAATCCAAGAGATACAGATTTTGACTCTGGTGCAGTAACCGCTTGGCTAAGACCAGTTAAAGTGAGTCCCCGACGAAACCATTCATGAGCGAATCTTCAAGGCGTGTTCTGATAGAAAAAAATGTTGTCAGCAGGTTTCAAACTTGCACTGTCCAAGAGATACAGATTTTGGCTCTGCCGTGTGACCACTTGGTTAAGACGAGTTAAAAGCGCTTCTTGGACCCGTACCAAGTGGCACCCCGTCTAGGACCCCGAAACTCAACAACCAAGTAGAACGTCGGCGACGGCGTCAAAGCCGTCCCATACCAACCCCCTTTCCTCTTCCTCTTCTTCTATCAATTAGATATACATACTAGAAACATAAAGCTACAAAATCACAAAAACACAAGAAAGAACTAAAAACAACAATGCCACCCAAACTAAAAATTGCTCAGAAAATAGCCACTCCGGCAACAAGATCCTCATCTAGACTAGAAATAAATGAAATAATTGCCTCAAACAGCGAAGTTACAGACGCAGCAAGTGCTCAAACCTATCTAGAACAAATGACCATGGCCATTAGCGGCAAACCCTTCTCCACTGACAATCTATCAGATATATTGTTCCACATCACACAAATGCCAGGAACAACCGTACCAGTCCAACTTGCTATCAGAGCGGTAGCCTTCCTACTCGAAAAAGCAGCAGACATAGAAACAGCCGACAAAATAGCAACTCTAGTCCTCTCCGCAGTCTCTCCACACATAGCAAAGATCCAAGACGTCTCAGAAAGTATTTCCTCAACAGCAGTAGAACTAAACATCACACAGGCCAAATTTATAGAACTCGCCACGACCATAGATACTGAAAGCCAGACAGCAGACGCAGATACAAACACAGCAACCATTGACTCCCGACTGGAGAAGATGCAAGAAGCGGTCATCTCGCTCACTACCCAAGTCAAGGAGATGTCCAAACAAGGAGGATACAAGACAGCACTGCTTACAGGACTCAACAACAATGACTCCAATCCAAATCTTCAAGCGGTACAAAGAGCTGCACAAAACGCAGTGAAAGCACGCCAAATCCTAATTGATATACCATCCGACAGCCAACTGGCTCCGGGTAAGATCTCACACGCCCAACTGACAGAAAAGATTAAACAGGCTCTCACCACGATCACCAAAGAGGACACCCCGGAACTGGACATTCGATCGATCACTCAATTCCGTAATGGAGGCACAATTGTCGAAATGGTCACCACCCAAGCAGCGGAATACCTCAGAGACCAACACATCAAGGACAGCTTCACCCAAGCCCTGGATCCCGGGGCGACACTCAAAGAATGATCATTCCTGGTAGTTATCCAATTTGTTCCACTGACCTTCAACCCGAGCAACACAGAACAAATACGAGAACTGGAGTGAGAGAATGGATGGAAAGAGAACGCTATCACAACAGCAAGATGGATCAAGCCCCCAGCCAAACGCACACCAACCCAAAGAGTGGCCCACCTTATCATCTCACTCAAGGACCTGAAGACAGCCAATGAAGGTATACGAGATGGAATAACACCAAACAAAAACAAATTACAGATCAAAAAGAACAAACGAGAACCTGTGCATTGTGCAAAGTGTCAGCGGTACGGACACATTGCTAGAGACTGCCTAGGCATTAGCACGGGTACGGGTAACCCGCGGCGGGTCGCGGGTATGGGTACTGGCGGGTACGGGTGCGGGTTGGGATTTTGAGACCCGTGACCTGCATACCCATCACTTCCATATATGGTCGTCTGCTGCAGCAACTGCCGTAGTCTGCGGTAAGGTGCGCATTTTTTTTTTTTTTTGATTCAATTTTCATGTCCTATGGAGAGTAATACTCTATGGAGGACAATACTATCTAGTCTAGGGGGCCCCCAGTGCCCCCTGCGCATCTCTGAGTTCGCGAATGCCCTGATGTGGGACGTGCCCCATCAGTCTGCCGTTCCCGCCGGCCATTTTAGACGTGCAACCCATCGAAGATGAGACGACTTATATGTACGCTTGTGGTAGGTATGGATTATCGGTATGAAGACAAAGACACATACTCGGCCGCAGAAGCGGGCAGGTACAGGAGTCAAAAGGTTGCAGTAGGATTAATTGGTGGGTGGTCCCATTTTGTTGGCTGATGGGAGGACCCGTTCCCGTCTGACTGATACCAGTGATGAAGCTAGTGACTCCGTGTGTGCGAGTGAGTGGTGGTGATACAAGATGATATGAAATGTTTGATGGTACCGAGGTGCGTGTACAAGCTTGCGTGCTTTCAAACCTGTTCAAAACTGATCAGTCTGCCGGAGTGCAAGGAAGTGGAATTTCACCAAGGACGGTCTTGGATCTACAAGTGCCATTGACATATCTAACAAGGTGAGGGGTGGCGTCGGGGTCTGTCAAAAGGAATTGAATGGAAGTGGCTCTTTGCCCTAGGGCGCTGACAAGTATGTGACGGTCATGTTGGAAGTGTGGGCAGTCTAGCAGGTAGTGGTGTACCGTCTCATCTATGCCGGGGCAGTGGGGGCAAGATGGGCTGTCAGCTTTGCGGATACGGTGAAGGTGCTTGTTAAGTGGTGCGTGGCCAGTTCGAAGGAATATATAGAGGCTGATGAGGCGTTTTGGGAAATTGGCAGTTAATTTGGTGAATGAACGTTTGAGGATGCTGGGGTCGAGTTGATTGAAGCGGTAGAAACGCGGGGATTTGCGCCAGAGCTGTCCCCATCTCTGGGTAGTGTCCTTGCTTTGCGTTTCTCTTAGGGCCGAAATGCTTAGTGGGAGGGCTCGGTGTCGAAGGAGGCGGGGTAGGCGGTTGACGGGGCTGTTGTTATGATGGCTCACTGCTGCCAGTTTGGCGTGCTTATCGACCTCCTCATTGCCATGGATCCCTGAGTGTCCTGGGACCCAGCGCATGGTTACCTTGAAGTCTACATTATCTTTGGCGATTTTGCTCATCATCCTACGAAAACAATCCGCCAGATAGGAACCAGGACGTGAATGGAATGTCTCACCTGCTCGAATCGAAGCTTGGTTGTCCACCGAGATAGAAAGGGGGAAGGACAGGTCGCGTTCCGTGGCCATCAAACGTGCGGCTAGAATCAGGCCGACTTCTTCTGCTTCAAATACCGTATGCTCTTCATCCGTCCCGAGGTGATATTGCAGTGTTCTGGGCTGCTGTCCTGCGCGGAATAGGACTGCAGCTGCCCCGATTTTACCCTTATAGCCCGATCCATCGCTGTATATCTGTATTTGGTCAATTAGTGTTTCATGTTCTGAAATGTGTTAAGACCGTACTCAAGTAGTATCGGATCCGAAGGGCTTCGGCCTCAGCTCGTGCGCTGTGCCCCTTTCCCGAGTCTTGCCCCTTATTTCAGAGAGCTAAAGTATCGCGTGTATAGAGTAACGGCCAATCCGGATCGGATCCGGACTAGAAACTAACGGGTGAGGACTGTCCGAAGACAGAGGCGGATATGTAGACTATAGGAATCTATCCTAAGTCTCGGAGTAGACAAGAGTAGCGTACTCAAGTCCGGATGGATAACGGAGGGACTCAGAGTCCAGACGGAATGAGTGCAATCTAAGATGATATTCGAACTGATCTACTACAGCGCATATACAAAGGTTTATATACTACGGATAGCTAACGGAATGATCCATAAGCAAAGGTGCGAGGCTATGTACGAAAGTATAAGCAAAGTCTAAGTGGAGCGTATTGGTAAGTTGGATGGATCACGAATCATGAACCGGGAATGAAGTACAAGTAAAAGCGGATTCGTAAGTGTAGCGGATCAGTAAGCATAGCGGATCAGTAAGCAAAGCGGAAGTAAAGGATAACCGGTATACCGGTGTACAGGAATACCGAAAGGAGATGAACGATAGTTAGAGTTATATGAACAGGAAATGAAATAAGAATCAAAGCGGATCTGTGGACCGGACGATGGATATGTTCATCGGATCTAGATCGGATCTGAGATCCAGATCATCGGATCTGTAACCGGATATATGGTATATGACAGTATCCCCCCCTTAGGGCCGATCCCTAGAGGCACAAGAATCAGCGATCCGGAACGGATGGTATGAGTGCGAGACAATGGAGAAGCTGATGGGAGAAGTTGCTGAGTTCGGATTCTGACAGATATACGGATGCCAAAGCGTCGCAGGGTGTTCCTTCCTTTCCCTACTTTTTCACTACCACTAGCTTATCTCAACCATGACTGATAACGGATCCGGCTCTAAGAAGACCGCTAAGCAGACTCTGGCGGATATCCAGGCCGCGCTGGCTGCTGCTGAGGCCGAGGTTCGGAAGGAGGAAGAGGCTGAAAAGCTGAAGCAACAAGCGGAAGAGGCGGAACGGAAGCGCTTGGCAGGGATTAAGAAGATTGAACGGGCTGAGGCCCGAAGGGAAGCGGAGGAGGCTAGGCGCAGGGCTATAGTAGCGGAAATGGTGAGTTATGACTTGTTCTATCGGATCCGTCCCTTATCGGATCCGTAGTCTCGCGCCATCTCAGCGGATAAGGATGGGGCTTGTACCCGCTGCGCTAAGAAGGGTCGGGCCTGTCTGTGGTCCGATGCGGATAGCAATTCCTTGGTAAGTCATCCTTGAATCTTCGGATCCGTGACTCTTAACATTCGGATAGATCAAGGCTTGTAACGCGTGCCGGAAGGACAAGGCTCCTTGTCCCGGACGACCTGGAACCGTTACGGATTCCAAGTCTAAGAAGAGGCAGCGCGCTGCTGAGAACCCATCTCCGAGAGGCAAGGGTAAGAAGCGCCAGCAGAGTCCGACTCCGGATCCGGATATGAAGACGGTAGTAGCGGATGAGGTGGAAGTGGAGTATGATGATCAGGCCTGGGTCGCGGCCGCTAATAGCATTGTAGCGGAACTGGCTCGGACCAACGGATTGCTCCAGCAGAGCATCGGAGCGGCGGAAGGGAGTAGGACTGCTATAGAGCGGATGAATACTAACTTGGAGGCGTTTTTGGAGCAGCAGAGGGAGTTCCAGACCATCCTTCTTGAGGGGATCCGGAATGGAATCCGGATTACAGAGGCGGCTCGTTCTGAGGCCACTGACAAGGACGTTGATGAATCCGGATCCGGATCGGGTGGGGACATGGAGATGGATGGCTGAGGATTTTCGGATCTGCCTTCTCTGCTACTAATGTACTTGTATATCCGCTTTGTATATTCATTGTATAGCAATAGGACCGGGTTTGTCTGGATATGCAGTGTGGAAATCCGAGACTAGATCGGACGCGTTTCCGAGTTCCGTGGCTAGTAGCCATGAAGTCTCTTCGTCTGTTCCTTCGTATCCGGACCATCGGACGAGGTATAAGAGTTGGCATTGTCTTCTACGACGGTCCAGCTTAGAGTCTAGGATTTCGGATATCTCATATTCTGGTTCTCCGTCGACTTCGACCGGAGGTGGAGGAGGCTGGATCCGATTGGGAATTGTGTTCGGAACGGATGGTTCTAGCTGTGAGACATGGAAGACGGGGTGGACGGATTTCATGGATTCGGGAAGTCGGATGGTAAAGGAATGGGTACCCGGACGGGATATGACTTCAAACGGACCTAGATTCTTTTCCGAGAGTTTCTTAGACGGACGAGTGGACCGGAAGTACTTAGCCTTGACAAAGACTTGGTCTCCGATATTGATATCCGGAGCAGGTTTCCGTTTAGCGTCCGCAGGTCCTTGATATCTTTCTTGGGCGTGAGCCATTTCTTCTCTAAGGAATTGGTGAAGGTCGTCGAGGTCTATAGCATAGTCGCGAGCGCGGATGGAGGATAGATCGCGTTCCGGATGGACGGATATGTTCGGATGATAACCCTTATTAGCAAAGAAAGGCGATACTCCGGTAGTAGCACTTGGAGCGTTATTGTAGGCAAATTCTGCTAAGGGAAGTAGTTCCGACCAGTTGTCCTGTTGATAATTGCAATATATCCGAAGGTATTGTTCCAGGGTTTGGTTGGCACGCTCGGTTTGTCCATCCCCTTCCGGATGATATCCGGATGTGAAGTGGAGGACCATATCCAATGCTTTTCCTAAGGATCGGAAGAAGTGGGATACAAACTCTGTACCGCGATCCGAGGTGACATGGGACGGAACTCCGTGCTTGGAAAACACATGAAGTAGGAATAGACGAGCGAGATCCGGAGAGGTAATGGTATCGTGAGTCGGAACAAATATTGCTTGTTTGGATAAACGATCTATGATAACGAGGATGGCTGTAAAGCCTGATGAGTCCGGAAGTTGCTCTATGAAATCCATGGATATGGAATTCCAAGGCTTTTCCGGTATGGGTAGTTGCTTGAGCAATCCGTA